AGAATACAGGAGAAGCACTGGGATAGGGTGGATTAAATCATAAAAACATTACCTAAAATAAGATGAAGACCAACTGAGGAAGCCAAACCCAGAAGGAGAAAAGCACTAAAGCTGGCGAATGAGATATCCTGTCTGAGCTGCCTTACATCCTTCAAACTGTACCTTCATTTCCAAGTATTCCTGGTGTTTTTTTCCCTGATTTTGTGATCACCAGGGCAGTAAGGTGAAGATTTCAAATTTATGAAGTAATTCAAATCTCAGTGTGCAGCCTGAGTGGAGGTACCTACAGAGCGGTCACCCAGTCTGTGTTTATATTTGCCCCCCGTGTAGAGGAAAGCACTTCACAAACAGTGAAGATAATCAGCTCAAATGGAAGAGCTTTCTGTGGTCCCTGACCACTGCCTATTGCCATGTTCCAGAGAAACTCAACACAAGGTTCAAGAACAACACTCAACTCAGCACTCACCAGCATTCTGGATTTTTAACAATCAATTCAACAATGTTATATCATAACTTCTGTCTCTGTCTTGCTGTGTGTGATTTTTGCTTCGTTATTTCACTGTTGGCTCTTTGACTTTTTTTTCTCTTTATCCCTTCATGTTACATTCCATTGGTTCATGTCTCATTTGGACACTACCTTCATTTCTTCATTATATCCATTATCGATCTTTTCAGCATTGTGTCATGAAATCTTTTAACTTTTGCTTGGTCTCCACTCTGTCACAGACCTCCGCCTTTCTTTTTCTCACAGACCTTCTCTTTTCATCTTCCTGCTCTCTCCTGTCACTTAGCCCTGGCTCAAAATTCTCAAATGAAGTAATGAGCAGGATAAAAATAAAGGGGAAGCAGTGGAGGGAATATATTTGTATTTCCAGAAGGCATCTGAAAAGGTACCACACGTTAGGCTACTTTAAGATGAGTCAGACAACAGCTGGAATACTGTGAAAAGTTTTGAGCACCTTACCTAAGCAAAGTCAGGCAACTGTCTGTGTGGAGTTTGCACATTCTCCCTGGGTCTGCGTGGATTTCCTTCGGGTGCTCTGGTCTCCTCCCACAGTCCAAAGATATGCAGGCTAGGTGGATTGGCCATGCTAAATTGCTCATAGTGTCCAGGGATGTGCAGGCTAGGTGAGTTAGCCATAGGAAATGCAGGGTTACAGAGATAGGTGGGTGGGTCTCAGTGGGATACTTTTCAGAGGGTTGGTGTGGACTCGATGGACCGAATAGCCTGCTTCCACACTGTAATAGAAAATATACTGGCATGGGAGGCAGTCTAGAGAAAGTTCTGTGGGCTGATCCTGGGTATGGAGGGATTTTCTTAGGAAGAGAGTTTGAGTAGGTTGGGCCTGAACTCATTGGAGTTTAGAAGAATGAGAGGCAACCTTATTGAAACATATAAGATTCTTAGGGGACTTAACATGGTTTCTGTTCAGTTCTGTTGAAAGGCTTTCAACCTGAAAAGTTAAGTCTGTTTTTGTCTACAGAGGCTGCCTAACCTGCTTAATATTTCCAGCATTTTTTTGTGATCTGCAAAAATGAGTTTGTTCTTTGCAGGAGTGAAACAAGTGCCCTGTGGTTAATTGAACTGAGTATTCCAGCTTCGCAACATCTCCCTTGGTTAAAATCATAGGCTAGTAAACACAGACACAAAGTCTGTGCTGCTGATTTTCAAGCTCACATTTTACTGCCAGTGCTTTGTAATTTCCTCTGTTCCCGACTGCATCCTCTATGGTAAGTTAGGAAACCCTTATCCCAACCCACACCTCTGTCTTAAATGAGTGCCCCATTACTCTAAGATTATGCCTTCTGGTCATAGATTCTTCTACAAAGGGAAACAACGTGGAAACATGGAAGAGGGAAGTAAGAGTAGGTCATCCAGTCTTTCAAGCCTTCTCTGCCATTCAGTATGATCATGGCTAAACATCCAACTCAATACTCTGTTATCGCTTTCTCTTCAAACTGTTTGATCCCTTTAGCCCTAAGAACTGTATCTCACTCCTTCTTGAAAGCATTCAATGTCTCAACAGCTTTCTGTAGTAGAGAATTCCACAGACTCACCACTCTCTGGGTGAAGAAATTTCTCCTCATCTCCATCCTAAATGACTTACCATGTAATCTTAGACTGTGATCCCTGGTTCTGGACTCCCCAGTCATCAGGAACATCCTTCCTGCTAGTCCTGTTGGAATTTAATAGGTTTTTATGAGATCCCCCCTCATTCTTCTAAACTCCAGTGAATATAGTCTTAATCGATCTAGTCTCTGGATCCCAGGAATCAGTCTGGTGATCTTCTGCCTCTGTTCCATTTTGCTACCCTCTTTACATTATTCCTTGATTCCTCATGGTAGCAACAATCTATCACAGCCTTGAATATACCATGAAAGATTGAGTATTAAGGAAAGTGAAATACTGTGGATACTATACCCTTTAAGAGAAACCACCCTATTTTTATAGTCCATTCCCTTTGAAATAAAATATAACATTCCATTGCCTTCCCTAATAGCTGCTGAACTTGTATTCTAGATTTTTATGATTCACGGATGAGGACTCCCAAATCCCTTTGCTCTGTAGCTTTCTGAAATCATTCTCCAATTAAATAATATTCAGTTCTTCTATTCATAGTAATAATACAGCATGGAAACAAGCCCTTCGGCCCAAACTGGTCCATGCTGACCATAGTGCCCACTAAGCTAGTTCCAATTGCCTGCATTAGGTCCATATCTCTCTAAACCCTTCCCATTCATATACCTACCCAAATGTTTTTTGAATGTTGCTATTAAACCTGCCGGACCCACTTTCTCTGGCAGCCCATTCCATATACGCACCACTCTCTGCGTGAATGAAGTTGCCTCTCAGGTCCTTCTGCCAAAGTTAATAATCTCCCAAGATTTTGCCCACTGACTTAACCTGTCTCTATCCCTCCGCAGACTCTGTGTTGTCCTTACTACTTACCTCCCCACCTATTTCTGTCTGTCCACAAACTTGGTGATAGTGCATTCACTTTCCTCATCATTATGATACCTTCTAAATAACTGTGGCCCCAGCACTGAACTCTGTGGTACTCCTCTTGTTACAGGTTGCCATCCTGAAAATGGCCCAATTCTCTGTATTCTATTGGTTAGTCAATCCTCTATCCATTCTGTTACACTACCCCCAACACCCTCTTGGTTCTCAGCTGCTGAATGGCATGTCATTTTCTTTCTAAGAAACCTCTCCCTGGTCCCTGATTTAAACAGGAAATCCCTCAGGGTTCAGGGAATGGTCACAGTTTATATCCTGCTAACTTTGTAAGCGTGGAGTCCCTGTCATTTCAAATTTTTATAAACTAAAAAAAAAATTGTTCATGCACTGTGCCTCCTGTCAGTTTTATCATTTATATAAGAGGCTCCACCTTTAGCTCATATGTTTTGTACTGCACTGACTCCTTAGTGAGCCAAGTAACTGAATGGCTATGGCTGAGGCACATTTTTATCATCTGTAGAAAGTAACAGTTTGCTCAACATTTTATTTAGCTGGAATTCCTTCCCACCTTTGTTCATAACCTGTGTACCTTGTTCTTGTGGTTGGTGTGTATATCTGCTCCAAATTCCATTCCCACCCCAGCCCGAGGCTGCTAAGGTCACCTTTTTAGGAGATTCCTGGCTGTGATTCAATCTTTTGTTTGTTTCTTAATCTGTGGAATCACAGCTGAGGAAACAAGCAACTCTTTGAGAAGCAAGGAGGCATCGGTGACCGGATGAGGAATAGGATGATGTCAGAGCATAGCTCGGAATGTCTTGTGTGGAATTTTCGAGTTTCTTGATACAATGGGCCCTCGTTCCCACTCGTGCTGGAACTGTGCAGCTAGCGTGGGAAAGTCCAGGAAGAAGGGAAATTGTCTGCAATCCTGTTCTTACTGAACAATGTGACAGGATAGGAAGGAAAGTGGCTGTGTGATGACATGGTGCAAGCATGTGGGTGAAGGTGTAGACTCAGATATCCGGAGAGTTTAATTGCTATAATAACACTGAGCTGTGCAGACTCTGTAATCCACTCTGTTTCTTTATCTAGAAGTGCAGGCTTGCTGTAATGATGGATATAAGATGCTCGCAATGATCAAAAGACATGTTGGATCAGTAAACTTGGCAACTTTTCTCTGACCCCAGCGCTGGCAATACTGGTTCTCATAGTAATTGACTGAGATCAACAAATTTGCCAAAGTTTATTGATCAAACCTCACCCAGCCCTGCAGAATGTCCCAGGCATACACACACACACACACACACACACACACCTAACATCTCCATAAACATGACATGGTTTAAAAGTTTACTTTACCCTTCTTCAATTAACAACAAAGTGACAAAGCTCTTTTGAATGTCTAATCAGATTTATTGTTGCAAGAAGTGTTCAGAGATGTGAGCATCTTTGGCTGGGGCAGCATTTATCGACCATCCCTAGTTGCCCTCAAGAAGGTGGTGGCGAGCTGTCTTCTTGAGCAACAGTAGTCCCATGTGCTAAAGGATCCCAACCATCACTTGCAGATAGGGATTATGTAGAACCTGCAGTCACAGGATCAGTGTCACTCCCAGTCACACTGTATATGTCACACCCACAGTCGCACTGTACATGTTACTCCCACAGTTACAGGGTCAGTGTCACTCCCACAGTCACAGGGTCAGTGTCACTCCCAAAGCAACACTATCAGTGTCACACCCCAAACACAGGTTCACTGTCACTCCTTCAGACACATTGTCAGTGCCACCCCCACAGACATACAGTTAATATCATTCCCACAGTCACACTGTCAATGTCACTCCTACACACACACTGTCACTCCCACAGTCACACTGTCAATGTCACTCACACAGACACACTACTGTCAGTGCCATTCCCACAGAATCAGAGTCAGTGTATCAGTTTGGCCTGAAGAGTATTGAGAAATGTTGTCCAGCGCTGACTGTAACTTGTCTATGGTGTTCCATTTGTGTTTTATGATAAAGACCATGAACTCTGCTCCCAGGTGAACCAGGAGAAGGTGGGTGATCGGGGCTCAGGCCTGGGCTACCTGGAGCATATCTGCCAGCTCGTTGAGACCATAGGCCAACTGCAGGAGCAGAACAAGCAGTTGCAGAAGCAAGCATGGATCACAGAGAGAGCCCTCAAGGTGAACAGGATGAAGGAGGTAAGAGGCTCCATCTTTTGTTCAAAGTCTTTGTCCATTTAAGAACACAGTGTGAGTCTAGCTGTGGTGGGGGTCCAGTCTTGTGAGTACACCTAATGTCCAGAAGCCTCAAGCTGGGGGACAGGAGATGAGGGTGGCCTGTGACGATAGGAGGAGGTCCTTTGTACATACTGACTCAATTGGACTCCTGATGGGTGCGCCAGCTGCCATCTCACCCAGTACTGGTGATGGAACCTCCCACCTAGTGGGTGGCATCCCACCCAATCTTTCCCACACTATTTTGCCAGCCATTCCATCTCCCAGACTGTCACCAAAGGACTGCAAAAATTCAGCTCATTGAGCCCCGTCACTTGTGTGTATCTCCCAGGGACTGGGTTAAAGCACTGGAATAGCCAATTAGGGAAAGCTAATGCTATGGAAGATGATTTCCTAATGCTTGCATCAAGATGGGTTTCTTGACTTTTATGTTAAAGGACAAATGAGGGACTGAGTAATTTTGATTTAGTTAAGGATTCTGGGTAATCTAAGATGGAGGACAGGAAACTTTTGTGACTGTAAGAGCGCCTCCTTTTTTGAGGTACTTTCAGTGTTGGAGCTGATTTCCTCAAATTCTGAGAGCAGTAATTACTGTTTTACAAGCTGTTGCATTGTTTTGGAACTTTGGGAAAAAAAGATCAAAACAACGGCACTTTAAAAAGGAGGAAGACAAAGGTAGTGACCACATGGACAGTAATTCAAACAGAGAAAGAAATCTAGGGACAGTAAGAACTGCAGATGCTGGAAGCTAGAGTCAATAAATGTGAAGCTGGAAAAACAAGGCAGGTCAGACAGCATATGAGGAGCAGGGAAGTCAATGTTTCAGGCTAAAACCCTTCATCAAGAGAAAGAAACCTACACTGCTGTCTGACCCAGCAGTAATCTACACAGCTGCTGCCTTTGCTGTCTGTTTTCAAGTATCTCTGGACATGGGAGTTTGTTCTAAGAAAAATAAACAAACAGCAAAATTCACAGCTGACCTTGGAGAAACTGGTGTGGGAACTCACAGCAGGGGGGCAGCTAAGTGGCTTTTTAACGTGTAACCTTACTGTTTTTCTTTTCTGAATCTACAATAGTGAATAGTTTTTTTGTTTTATTATGTGTTTTATTGACATCTGTCTCATGATTGAACTTTAAAAATATAAAAACATAGGTACTAAGTCAGCCTGGTGCAGTGTTTTTAGAAGCAGTAAGACTGCTGTTTTCTAGGTCTGTGGATTGTTATGGTGGAAAGATGGCCTTTAGTAAATTGATATGTTCTTCCTGTTAGATGTGGGAGATTAGGGAGAGTTTCCATGTTACTGATGATGATGTCTGCAGGAAATGTGATTGGTTGTGAATCCTATCGGATCGCATGGATCGGTTGAAGCAGCAGTTAGAGGCAATGAGGAATTTACAGGAGCTAGGGGGTATGATGGATAGTAGTTGCAGGGAGGGAGATAAGCCAAAGATACAGTCAGATAGGTAAGTTATCTCCAGAAAAGGTAGGAGAGGGAGGCAGGTAGTGCAGGAGTCTCCTGTGGCTATCCCCACCTCAAACAAGTACACTGTTTTGGAAAATGTAGGGGGTGATGGACTCTCAGGGGAATGTAGCACTGACAGGTTTCTGGTACTGAGACAGCCTTTAATGTAATGAGGGGTACGTCAGGTTCCAAGACATCGATTGTGATAGGGGATCCTCTATTCAGAGGACAGAGATGATTCTACAGCCAACAGCGAGACATCAGATTGGTGTGTTGACCCCTGGAACCTGGATCAAAGATATATTGGAGAGGGTGCAGAATATTCTCAAAGGGGAAAGGGACGAACAGGAGGTCATTGTACACATTGGAACTAACAACATAGGAAGAGAAAAGCATGAGATTCTGAGGAGAGAATATAGAAAGTTAGGCAGGACTTTAAAAAGTAGGTCCTTGAGGGTAGTAATATCTGGATTACTGCCAGTGCCATGAGGTAGTGAGGGTAGGAATAGGAGGATAGAGCAGATGAATGCGTGGCTAAGGAGCTTGTGAAGGGGAGAAGGATTCACATATTTGGATCATTGGAATCTCTTCTGGGGCAGAAGTGACCTGTATAAGGAGGACAGATTGCACCTGAATTAGAAAGGGACTAATATACTGGCAGGGAGAATTGCTAGAGCTGCTCAAGAGGATTTAAACTAGTAAGGGGGAGGGACGAGCAGGTGGGACAAAGGGAGATAGTGAGGAAAGAGATCAGTCTGGGACTGGTGCAATTGCGAAAATGAGTAAGTCAAACAGACAGGGCAGGCAGGAACAAAGTAGAGAATGAGGTAGGACTGATGAATTAAACTACATTTATTTCAACGCAAGAGGCCTGACAGGTAAGGCAGATGAACTCAGGGCATAGTTAGGAACATAGAATTGGGATATGATAGCAATTATAGAGACGTGGCTCAGGGATGGACAGGACTGGCAGCTTCTGAGGAAGGCTCACCAGACCCGAAACGTTAACTCTGTTTTCTCCTTCACAGATGCTGCCAGACCTGCTGAGCTTTTCCAGCAACTTTGTTTTTGTTCCTGATTTACAGCATCCGCAGTTCTTTTGGTTTTTATTTAGGACTGGCAGCTTAATGTTTCAGGATATAGATGCTATAGGAAGGATCAAAAGTGAGTGTAAGACAGGAGGGAGAGTGGCATTTTTCATTAGGGATAACATAATGGCTATATTTAGGGAGGATATTCCCAGGAATACATCCAGGGAAGTTATTTGGGTGGAACCGAGAAATAAAAAAAGGGATGATTACCTTATTCTGATTGTACTATTGAACCCCAATAATCAGCGGGAAATTAAGAAACAAATTTGTAAGGAGATCTCAGTTATCTGTAAGAATAACAGGGTGGTTACGGTGGGGGATTTTACCTTTCCAAACATAGACTGGGACTGTCATAGCATTAAGGACTTGGATGGAGAGGAATTTGTTAAGTGAGCACAAGAAAATTTTCTGACTCAGTATGTGGATGTGCCTACTAGAGAAGGAGCAAAATGTGACCTACACTTGGGAAATAAGACAGGGCAGGTGACTAAGGTGTAAGTGGGGGAGCATTTTAGGGCCAGTGACCTTAGTTCTGTTAGTTTTAAAATAGTGATGGAAAAGGATAGATTGGATCTGAAAGTTAAAGTTCTAATTTGGAGCAAGGCCAATTTTAACGATATTAGGTGAGAACTTTCAAAAGTTGATGGGGTAAAGGTGTGGCTGGAAAATGGGAAACCTTCAAAAATGAGATAACAAGAGTCCAGAGACAGTATGTTCCTGCTAGGGTGAAGGGCAAGACTGGTGGGTGTAGGGAATTCTGGATGACTAGAGAAGTTGAGCTGTTGGTCAAGAATAAGAAGGAAGCATATAACAGGTATGGACTGCAGAAATTAAATGAATCCCTAGAAGAGTATAAGTGCGGTAGAAGTATACTTAAGAAGGAAATCAGGAGGGCAAAAAGAGGTCATGAGATAGCCTTGGCAGATGGGGTTAAGGAGGGATTCTACAAATACATTAAGGACAAAAGGGTAATTAGGGAGAGAATAGGGCCCCTTAAAGATCAGCAAGGCCACCTTTGTGTGGAGCCGCAGGAGATGGGGGAGATACTAAATGAGTATTTAGCATCAGTGTTGACTGTGGAGAATGATATGGAAGATAGAGAACATGGGGAAATAAATAGCAATATCTTGAAAATGTCCATATATTAGAGGAGAAGATGCTGGATGTCTTAAACACATAAAGATGGATAAATCCTCAGGACCTTATCGGGGTGTACCCTGGAACTCTGTGGGAAGCTAGGGAAGTGATTGCTGGGCCCCTTGTATCATTGATAGCCACAGGTGAGGTGCTGGAAGACTGGAGGTTGGCTAACGTGGTGCACCTATTTAGGAAAGGCGGTAAGGAAAAGACAGGGAACTATAGACTGGTGAGCCTGACATTGATGGTGGGTAAGTTGTTGGAGGGAATCCTGAGGGACGGGATTTACATGTATTTGAAAAGGCAAGGACTGATTAGGGATCGTCAACATGTCTTTATGTGTGGGAAATCGTGTCTCACTAATTTGATTGCAGTTTAAAGAGGATTGAAGGCAGAGCAGTGGACGTAATCTATATGGACTTCAGTAAGATGTTCGGCAAGGTTCCATATGGTTAACTGGTTAGCAAGGTTAGATCACATAGAATACAGAGAGAACTAGCTATTTGGATACAGAACTAGCTCGAAGGTAGGAGGCAGAGGGTGGTGGTGGAGGGTTGCTTTTCAGACAGGAGGCCTGTGACCAGCGGTGTGCTGATTGGTGCTGAGTCCACTGCTTTTTTGTCATTTATATAAATGATTTGGATGGGAACATAGGAGTTGTGGTTTGTAAGTTTTGATGATTTAGTTTAGAGGTGTAGTGGACAGCGAAGAACGTTACCTCAGAGTACAGCGGGATCTTGATCAAATGGGCCAATAGCTGAGAAGTGGCAGGTAGAGTTTAATTTAGATAAATGTGAGATGCTGCATTTTGGAAAGGCAAATCAGGCCAGGACTTGTACACTTAATGGT